TCGAACTCAACCGCTAGGTCCGCTACAACAACAAGCTCGAACTCGACCGAGCTCGACTCGACTGCTACAGCAGCGAACTCGAACTCGATCGAGCTTAAGGTTTTCTGTGTACTTGTACCTGCCTGGCCTGCTTGTTTTACCAGGTCTAGCAAAAGAGAAACACTTTCTCCACCCTGAGGTTTTAATCAAATGTCAAGATCAAGTGTTTTAAAATACCTAAGCTATCCCACATGAATTTAGCAAACGTTTACATAACCAGTGAATTGGGATTTCTCTGTTTAAGAACCAAAACACCCCTCATTTTGATATTATCCCAATTTTAAAAGCCTAGATTCTGCCCCAGACTGTCTATTTATCCTTGTCGGCCGTTAAAATCACAGGAATATATCCCACTAATACATATTATAAGCACTAGTGGAGAAAAACCCCACAGGGGGTAAACGCAGGTAATTCCTAATGAGCAAGATGATGTTAGTTCTTGCATAACTACAAATAGTTGAATACAATTATAAGCACTTAACAGGAAGAGGTTGACACAAGCAATAATACATTACTTCGCCTCCAACTAGCTACGGCTCTCCCAAGTTAACAAGATTATTTTAACAATGTTTCCACCAATGGAAGGATTTAATACAGATAATAAGCACAAAATTTCGCAAAAATATCGTGCAGCTTGCTAAGGCTTGTATGTTTATACTACAAAACTGGTTCAATTTCACTGCATCAAAAACATCCGTGTCTACCGACTAGATATAATGAATAGCTCATAATGATTTCATCTCACGACTCGAAGCAATCTATTAAGTTGAAATAACTACGTAGAAATGTAAGCATAACCCGAAATTGGAGGACGGATTTGGAACATGGAACCTCTCATTAATTAATTAATAAGAATAATGTTATACTTACAACCTCTTCTTAGAAACTATTTTACACAATTCTAAAGTGATAACTCGCTATTGACCAGTCGCAATTTATAAGGTAGAATCAATTACAAGTTAACCAATTATGAGTTGTCACATCGAAGTTATGAGAGAAAGTTTATGAGAAAATGTTGTAAAACGTAACATTTTCCAATTAATAAATGTATTATTTGTGAGCTACCATTTTAAGAAGTTCAATCATAGAAATACACTCTAATCCTAAGGTGTTTTGTCTTTTTTGTAGTGCGCATGCGTCCATTTTAAAAATATGATCTTATTTTAGGCTCTGTTTGGTTCACTTTTTTACATTTTTTAGAAAAAAATTTTGAAAAAAGTTAAAAAAAAATTGAATTGGGCGGGTATTACGATGTAAGATTTGAAAATTAATAAAAATACCTCCTATGTTTTTTTATTTATTAAACACCCCTATAATAAAACTTTAAAAGTTAACAAAAACACCCCCAACCCACCCATTGAATAATCACAGCCGGCCATCACCGTTGAAGAGTGGTCGGAGTCGCCGTATCAACGCATGACTGGCTGGATCTTGCCGGTTGTGCACCAATATGGCCTTTCCCGGCTAGATCTACGGTGGATCTGGCCGGCAAAGGCTAGATCTACGGCTAGATCTGGCCATTGACAGCCAGATCTGGCTGCATTTGCTGGTCAACGACGGCCAACATACGATCGTCGTTGATGGTCAACGAAGGCCATATGTTGGTCGTCGTTGACGATTGGCTACGGCCAAAGATCTGGCCTTTTCCGGTTAGATCCACCATGGATCTGGCCGGAAAAGGCTAGATTGGTGCACTACCGGCCAGATTCAACCGGTAGTGTGCCATTGTACCGGATTCCGGCCATCTTCCAGCAGTGGTGGCCGGAATATGGTATAATGTGGGTTTAGGGGTGTTTTTGTAATTTCAAAAAGAATTATTTAGGGTTTTTAATTAAATTATCAAATTTAAGGGGTTTTAAAAAGGTTGAATAATATTGGATAATATTGTGAGTTTTTATAGTTTTACTGTTTAACTTTTTTGGGAATACTAATAATAGTATTCCCAAAAACAAAACAAACGGAACCTCAATGTTTTATGAAATTTTAGGTTATTATGTTTAAATTTGTAAGAAAATAACATTTTTACTAATTTATCCAAATTTAATCAATCTAATATCTAAAATCTGTGTTAATGTTAAGTGGATAATATTTTTTTAGAGGCTAAATACATGGGATTAAAGTTGTACTATTTACTACAATATGGCTGCACACGTTTTGAATCATCAATATTTAAAAAGGTAAAAAGACAAAGACAAAGACAAAAATAAAGAATGCTTCTTTAAAACGTGGAGTATTATCCCCTTCTTCCTTAAGTTGCTTGAAGGAGGACCCCAAAATCATATTTTATTTTGACCTTATCTTTCTTCTTCTTTTTCGTATTTATAGCCATGACAATTTTGTAATTAATTATCAAACCAAAAGATTATAGAATGCTTCTTTAAACTATGATTTTATGAAGAAATACATTGCAAATATTAAGTATGATTAAAATAGTAAGAAATAATATCTTAATAAGAGTTTATTATTTTAACCCACATTATGAAAACTCTTTAAAATATTTATTGCTAAATGCGTATTGAATATAATGTTTCTTCTGTAATTATGTATTTTTGTTGTCCTAATTATTGGAAGATATTTTTAAAATATGTGACGAAACTCTTTCTTGAAATAGTTTTTCAAAAATAATTTTCCAAAATGTTTAACAAATAATATTATCCATTAGAAGTAAAGCAAATTTTGCTAATTAAAAGTTGATATTTGCTAATAAGTGTTCAAATACAAGCACTCTTGTGCAAAAATTGAGGCAGGCCAGAATATTACATACATACACACATTTGCAGATCATACAAAATCCTTGAATCAAGAGAGAATTTTTTGTATATCCGTTTCACATAAAACAACTCAATAAAAATAGCGCAAATAACAAACACTTGAATCATAATTGGGTGGTAACAAGTGCAACGGATTCACCAAAGTGTTCTTCTTTGAAGAAGGCCATGTATTTAAATTTGCAGCAGAATTTTAAGGCAACCCAGCAAATCACAGATTTATTGAATAACAAATCGTAAGATACAACAAGTTTTGAGACACTTACAATATTGACAAGCACACAACAATCAATAAAATATAAAGTTGACACTCAAACTGAATAACTGTACAAATAAACATATGTATTCACATATTGAAGTAATGATATCAAGAGACAAACAAGAACTTCATATGACGAACTAGGCTTGTAATGAAGAATGATGCAAAGCCCATAAGATTCTCTACCTGTCTTTCTTGATCTAAAGAAGTTTATCATGAACACACCATGGAAAACTAAGGAAATGCTCACGATTTAGTCCGTTGTATCGACCCAAAAAACTCGGATGATATGTAACATAATACCAAGCTGATGCTTTCATGTATACTTTCTCAGGACCATCAGATTCATTTTCCATCTTGTTGAACCAATCCCTGACTTCTTTTATCAATGATTTCACAGCCAATTTGATTCCTTCCAAATCTCTTTTCTTACTAAAAGATTTTTCCATTTTCATTATTTGACCGCTAAGTATTTCACCCTCGGTTGATATCTCGAAATAATCCATCAAATTTCCCAATCTATAATCAGACTCACATTTGTAATAAAAAGCATCATCACTGTAGTTTTTAAAGCCCTGCACTTCCATGTCAAGATCATAAAACTGCCTCACCTCATCCGAGGTGAAGGATTTGATAGTACCCATCTTTGGCACAAGATCTTTTGCCTCACGATAAAGTTTCCCAATCACACTTCGCGATTCATAAGATTCTCTTTCATGCTTTTCCATGTAATTCGAAAAACTTCTAACTTGTAACCGTCGAGGGATTTTAGCAGGTACTCCGGTTTTTGAGAAGTCAACAGCAATGGAGGCTAGTTTTGTAAGAAGAATACATTGCCAACACATTGCCTTGTAAGGACTAATATCTGCAAATGCAACATGGGCATTATAGATTATTCCCAAGTTTTCATTGACCATGTAATCAGCAAGAAACTCCTCCACATTTGTACCACAATACTGTCTATGTTAAGGCATAGAAAAAAAAAATATGCGCTAATTAGAATCCAAAAGAAAATGAACTAATGCAATATGTATGTGTTTGAACAATTCTTGGCACGCTAGATTGAGTAATACCTCAACCGTAACTTCATTATCAAGAATCTTAAGTGGTGGTGAAGTACAATCCAGAGGTGGATACTGGCAAGGAGGAATGAGATTACGATCCCAACAAACAAAGTAGATATCTCCATCCAAATCACTCTCCCAACATTCATCAAGATGAGGTCTAGTTAACAATGTCAATAATGTCACTGTAAATATGCTTTACAGAGAAATTATGCTTAAGTAAACAAAATATCAGTGCACAAGAAGAATATAATGTGATCTTCAAGAGAGCGATGACCAATTTAGAAATTTTCTGAGTTCGATATTAAAATTTCATGCAAACAATTGTTTGTAGTGAAAACCCATTAATAAATTGCTTTTATTGAGCTTGTAAAAGAGGAACATTTATCTTGGGAAAATGTTTTTTTAGTCCCCATCAGAGTTTTAATAGCCTCTATTGTTAAATACACTTTTACTATATTTAAAAAAGAAAAAAGAAAAAGAAAAAGAAAAAAGTCTCTTTAAATCTTATTTAATACCGAATATATCCCTACTTAACTAGGGTTATTATTTGCACCCATTTTCCTCAATTTCAATGCAATTAGAGTATTTGTTACACTACTTCTTCCCAATTTCAAACTCAATTAGGGTTTTTGTTTATATCAGTTTTTACTAATTTCTTAATCAGGTGTTCTGTTTATAACTCTTTTTTCTTAATTTCAAATTCAAAATTTACTTTTTCTTCTTCTGTTGACTACACACCTAACGATTGTCCTGAAACTACAAAATGTGACTTGACCAATTTCTAGAATCCACTTGCCTTTTTTTCTTGATAGTATATTTTAGTCTCAACAAACACAAAACAATCCATCAGAGAACAAGGAGCCATGAACTTAGAAGGATAAAATCATATACTTTTTACAGCAATCCAGTTCAGTCTCAATCTTGATTATGAAGCATTTATACTTTATAATACAGAAACACTTGTAACAGAGTACAGTTGTTAGTCCGACTGTTGCCACAAATATATACAAGATACCACGCATATTTATAAGCATTGTAAAAGAAAACAACACAAGCATAATTTCTCAATGCAAAAGCAATCCATGACTGAGCGAGTGCTGAAGAGATGACAGGCTTAGAGCATTTCTCAGACTTGTTTTGTCCCTCTTGATCTCTATCAGCTTGTCATAAACACACCACGCAAAGCTAAGAAAATGTTGGCGATTCAGGCCTTCATTATAGCTGCCCCAGTAGTTAGGATGATATGTGACATGGTACCAAGCCGACGCTTTTGCATACACATCATCTTCAAAATCAGACCCACTTCCCTTCTCATTGAACCAGGCTCTAGCTTCTTTCCTCAAGGCCCTTACTGCCATACCAATTGCTTCTGCATCTCCTCTCTTTGTGAAAGATTTGGACATTTTCAGGATACCACCACTGAGTATTTCGGCTTCAGTTCTGATGCCATAGTAATCCATCAAATTCCCTAGTTTGTAGTCATAATTGCTTTTGTAATAGAAAGTATCTTCAATGTGATCCTCAAATCCATCAACTTCCATGTCATGGTCGTAAGACCTTCTTGCTACTTCCCCAGTGAACGACTTAATAGGGCTTGTATCTGGTGCTATGTCCCTCACCTCTCAGAAAAGCTTTCCTATCACATTGCGTGACTCGTAGGTGGGCTTCTCTAGTTTTTCCATGAAATCAGGATATTCTTTGACATGTAAATGAGGTGGTATTTCCGCAGGAATACCAGTTTTTGGAAAGTCAACCGCAATAGAGAATTTCTTCGCTAGTTCTAAGCATGGGTCGCTCATTGCTTTGCCAGACTCCTTATCAGCAAAAGCAGTGTGAGCATTCGCAATAATTCCCAAACTGTCATTCACTATGTAGTTGGTGAAATACTCCTGAACTTCCTGCACGGCAGAAATTAACACCCTTATATGCAAATCACTGAATAAAAACGTTGTGTGCAGTTGTGTACTTGTGTGGCAGGAGAAAGAAGAGTAAGGTAAAAAATTAGAGGCATGTATAAATGCATCTCAGTCATCATTTGCTTTCAAGGATTTCCAGCTGTCAGATCTTATCTTTTTGGCAGTATACTGCACATAGCATGAGGCAATGAAAGCTAGAAGAATCATGACTTTGGTCATATGCAAATGGGATAAAAGAAAATAACAAAATTTTTGAATACTTCAGGGTCTAAAAGAATAATACCTCAATTGTAACATCATGATCTAACTGAATACTTGGTTCTGGGGTATAATCCATCGGTGAGATTTGCCGTGGTGGAATCAATTCAGGATCCCAACAGACAAAGTAGATATCTCCATCCAAATCACTTCCTGAACTTTCATTTGTGTGAGGTCTAGGACTATAAATCAGTTTTGAATATCAGTCAAATGCAAAATGTCTGAGCAGTTCATTAATTTGTCTCGTTAATCTATTATTAATAAACAGCAGAAAGACACATAGTATTACCATTCAAAAAAATAAATCGTGTCAAATTTGAACATTACAATATGAAGTACAGAAAGTAAATCCTAAGTTTCCCAAATACAGGCATTTGTGGTTATTGACTATAATTTTTCTTGCATTAAATTAGGTGAACTCAGTGTCACATATTCATAACCCAGGAAAGCAAAAACGTAAAAGAGCAGAAATAAAAAAGTACAAAAATTGATTCAAGTGTGTGTCAAATTCCACATGGCATAGCTTGTAAGACTTGACAGAGTGATACAATCAGAAGGGATGCCAGCAGTTTCAAAGTTTAATCTATTATAAACATGTTAAGTAAAGTCATTCACAAGGTTGACTGAAGATGCTTTCATTTTGTTTAGTTGACAATGGGCATATGATAAGGATACACCAGTTGTATAACAAGGATATCTATATAGTTATTTGAAATAAATTCCAGTACACACCGCAACACTCTAAACCATGAAGTTGAAAGTTATACCTCATTCCTTTCTGTGGGAATACAACACAATCCACCATATGATACAAAGCTGGCACATTCACCGCCCTTAAAACAAGAACATCGCCTGGGTGCAAGCAAGGGTTTTTTGCAACAACGACCTCTCCCTCAATAAAATAACGCTGCTGAGAAGCAGCTTTAGAGAATTGCACAAACACCTGCCCATAATCTAAAGTTCATGTTTCGTCCAGACATCCCATCATAGATCTTCCATTTTGAACAAATATCCTTGTTTTAGTCCGCAACTCCAGCAACTTTGATGCCCGGAATGTTTGTAGCATCATAGAAAGGAAGGGTTCAGCATCTGGCTTATAGCCGCACAAGAGCATTTCCTTGAGAATGTTAGTATTTTCTCCAGGCGACATCAACTCCAGAGCCTCCTGTGCTCGTAGTGGATCTGTTAAGATAGCATTCAGTTGATCTACAGCTTCTCTTTGTTTCTTCTCAAAAACTTTATCATGAACACCAAGGGTAGAGAAAAGAGTAATCAGCTGACGATTCAGAAAACAAAGGCTGATATTTGCTCCATGCCAAAACATCCAGTTTCATGATGTCTGAATGATACTTGAACATACTTCTCCTCAATGATACTTGAACATACTTCTCCAAATCGAATCTGAAAGGCAGATGGAGGACAATCTTTAATACCACATTTTTGGGCCACTCTCCTTGCAAACTCAACAGAAATTTTCCCAATACCATCGGAAAATACATATTCAGTTCCACCTGTTGTAACCTGTACATCAGGAATGACCTCAAATTCATCCTCACGAACACTAAGAGTTTCAGTTGATGAACCAAAGGATTGACCAAGTCTGGCAGCATACTTCGCCACATTCCTTATTTGACGAAAATTTCCCATCCACTCCCTTATATGTGCAGCAGTGACCCCATCTGTAGAAGCAAACATCCAAGCAGAGTTTTCTCGCAATTGACTAGATGAAAAAGCAAGAAATTCAAATTTCTTATCACCAATAACTACACCATTTTGTAGGGTTGAAAGGATCCTTGTGTAAATTCCAGTTCCCCTATGCTCATTTGCAGAAGATGAACGTGGAGCTACAGCTATTGAATGGATTTTATCTAAATCCTCATCAATGAAAGAAATACGAAGAAAATTGTCAATATAATCTCTGTAGTGAAGAAGTACACGGTTCGAGACATTAACCTCTGGACCATAAAAATAAACTTTACAAGGTGTTACTTGGATTCTGTGTACATATACCAAACTGCCATCCAAAGTTATAGCAGATGATCTTGGCTTATTCCTGGTTGTGAGGTATTTTTGGTACTGTTCAGTGAGCCACCTTAAACAAGACACCCATTTTGATCCAACAAATTGATCTTAAACAAGATCTCATATGGCAAGTAAATTCCAAAGGGAGGACCAACAATTGGAACCAAACTGTGATTGCAAGAATAGGCAGAACTTATTTCCAAATCAAACCTGCCATCACTTTCTTTATAGTAACCAAAGTTTTCCTTAAAGTTTGGAAGTTCAAGGCGATAAGGAAGCTCTAAACATAATCCAGCAGACTGCCCAATACAGTTTGAGGGAGTGAAATCTGTTGCCCTGACCCATTTATCATCAGGGTCATCCTTAAAGAAGTTAAATAAAGGGTCTTCAAATTCACCATAAGAAAAGCGTGTTTCTTTCTCAAAAATCCGGGGAGCACCAAGTAGCTTAAAATCAAAAGAAACCCAAAAAAATAATCCTTTACAGTCAGCAAATTAACATTTAACCCAAGAAAGAAGAATAGTAAACATGATCTGAAAGATCCAACTCTCAAGCATATAGATAACTGAATTCCACCATCCATCTAATTCCATGAATTTCCAATTGCAATATGTATTAAATAAATCTAGTCCATTCTTTCCCATTCAGAATCCCAAATAAAAAACCTTCAACAAAAGACTATGAATTCCCTTCCCCCTCGCCCCCTTCTTTTTGTTAAAAGTAAATTTTTTTACGTAGAAAACTGGTAAGAATTTTATTTAAAAAGTGCAGTACCATAGCCAGAAGTATTGAAATATAAATGTCCAAAAAGCATTGAGACAGTCCATATAAAAGAACTTCTTTTCAATAAGAAAAAGAAAATGCAGGTGACTATCATCAATTGCTTGCAAATCAGAAAATAGAAATCAACAGAATGTATACATTCATATAAAAGAACTTTCATTCTTTTTCCATTCATGCAATACAAGCAATGAAGCTGCATTTTGCTGCGTGAAAAATAAAAGAAAATAAAATAGCAATGAATTATCGTCAATGATCAAAATTAGAAAAGCAACCTGAATCAGAAGATACTTTGCTCTTTGATGGCATGGACGATGGAGTTCTATCTGCCAAATATTTTCGTAAGCGAGCTCAAGCCTGTATTCTACTCGTTGATAAGACAGATAAAAATTTAATTTTCGCATTCCGATACCAAAATTCACAGAAACATCCACCCCTCTCCAGAGAACAGCAAATGCTTCACTTGAGATCTGACAACCAAAATGCAGCATTATTTTTTCCATGCTATGCATAAAGGTTCTCGGTTTCGGCACAATATCATGCTCCATTGGCCGAGCATTGAGATATGAACTCCCATACCATAGTTATCTTTCTCATAGTTACTGCAACTTAGGCATACTGTGTGTATGAGTTCTGAAACAAACCAAATTTATAAATAAGTTTTGCATCCAAAACCCCAATTTCCCAAATTAATATCGGTAAACACTATTTCTGAGTAAAGAAGGAATCTTGCAGGGGTACAGGAGCAACCCCTGCAATGTGTATTTGCAACATGTTAACACTTTAAATCCCACTATCCCCAATCAAGTCCTCTCAATGTAAAATAAGTATTCAAAAACAACAAAGAAAATTGTTGCGAAACATAGTAATATCAGCAAAACGAAATACTGTTGTACTGTTGACCTTAACATTCTCGAGGAGGTAATAAGATCCATAGGTCAAACTTTCAGTTACTTATTTGTGGAAGCACCAATTAAAAATAAGATCTAAAATCTAGCCATACTTTAACTTCAATCATTCCACAGAAAAAGAAACTTATGAAAAATCAGAGAAGGTAGTCTTATGTGTGGGTGTGTGCGTATATAAACATGAACAGCAATCTTATATGAATTCATGTTCTACTCAGAAGGAAAATCAAATTGATGCTGATGTGCCAGCATTTCTCATCAGTAGTGATTTTGAAAAGATAAGCTTGCGATTAAATCAAAACAAGAAATTTACTCTAAAGTGGGCACAGATAAAATTATATACAATAAAATTAATCCAAGCAAAAATGTTAAATCCATCATGGGTTCAATAAATGTGGAAATTTTATGTAACAAAACAAACACTCCTGAAGCAAATAAAAGAAAAGAACAGAAACTAGAAAAAAATAAAATAGTAACATTAAACATCAAATTAACAACAAAATATTAATTCTAAAATATGGCATTCTGTTAATATATAATACATAACCTGTAATTATTATCATTTTTCTTTTATAGATACTCGAGTAACATCATCGAGCCAGTCTATAATAACACTCCCTCTCATTCATGAATCATGCATACAGCAAAAGAATTTTTCTGTGTTGCCATCCCGGTAACATTATCGAGACTTGTACCATTAAACCAAGATGCTAATATAATACTAGAGGTTACGTTACCCAGTAACATAACAAAAACTTCATTAATCCTTTATTACATAAGCCTATTTTTTTTTTTTTTTTTTTTTTTGATAATCTGAAAATCTCTCTACATAAGACTTCTAATACTAAAAGGAACGATCATATAACTTTCATATTACAAGTTTGCCACTAAATTTCATTCCTTTTTTCTTTTTCTTTTTCTTTTTAGATTTACATGGTCTCTACTGTAAGTATGGTGTTCATGTCATAAACTGCCAGTAAACAAAGCCAACTTGTTTCTTTAAATAACAAAAAGAAATGAACTTTGAGTGAAAACAAAAACAAGAAAAGGAAAAGAAGCAGAAGAAGAAGAAGAAGACACACCAGAGAAAAAACCCAGAAGCCAAGAAGATGAAGAGTGCTGTAAGCAAAGAGTGAAGAGTAAGTTGATCGTCTTCGTCAAAGCCAACTTATTTCTTTAAATAACAAAAAGAAATGAACTTTGAGTGAAAACAAAAGCAAGAAGAAGACTCGCCAGAGCAAAAAAACCCAGAAGCCAACTAACTAATTCATTATATTTTTAATTGTGGATTAAACTAATTTTTTATTAATAATATTTTATAAAATATAGTTTTTTAATTTTTTTAATGTTGTTTTACATGCTTTTTCCGAAATAGTAAAGTTAATTTAATTGTGTAATAATAAGAGCATGAGACTTGAAGCATAAAATTGATGGAGAAATTATAAGATGCTTTAATTTCTCTCTTTTGCAAAGAAATGAATATATAACCTATATTACTTTTATTTTGGGAAATTGAAATTCTCTACTTTCTTTTTAAGGACAGATTGAATCTAATTCATGAATGATTCTTTTACCCTATTTTATCCATCATCTTTATTTGTATATGTATTTCATTTGTTAAAGCTTATTTTGTAATAAGGCATAGTTTGTAGACGTAAAAATCTACCTGTACGGAAGGAGGGATTGATCTCGTGAGGTTGAGGCCACTAGCGATCTGTTGTACCTGCACACGTAAGAGAAACAAACGTGAAGCGATGGAAAACATCGGGGTGGTGTTTGCCGTAGACACTCCGACACTCAAGTCAGCAAGGCTGAAAAATGCTGATTTAGTGAGGGCTATGGAGTAAAGAGGTTACCAGAAGTCTAGTCGGGGACTGTGACTACGGCTGTGATATGAAGTTCTCAAGCTATAACTCTGGGGTCTGAAGGTGTAGTGTAATCTCCTTGTGAGAGGGCTGGCCTTTGTTTAAATAGTGAATGTCTGGTCTCCCAATCCTAGTGGGATTGGGAGTTCTCATAGCAATCTGTTTCCTGTAGGAATATGTCATTGATCCCCTTATCTTGGCGTGAAAGGGACTCCGAGTGTCACTCTGACATGGACCTTGGAGGAATGGAGATAATAGTGGACTACTTTGTCAGTGTTTGAGTAGGAGTGTGATCAGTAGGTGACCGTGGACTCTGAATTCGTTCATCGATTCAGGGGGTGAACTGGGATTAGGAGGCTTATGTTCGGAAGGTTTGGGCCAATTGTACTTTGTATCAAATGGGCCAATTGTACTTTGTATCAAATGGGCCTAATCCGATGAGTTTTGGATTGTGCTGCATCGGGATAGGGCCGGGTCTTTTCCTTATTGTCAGTCATGTTTTCCCATTTAGGCCGAGGACGATTTTTGGCCCTAACAGTTTGCCCCCCACTCTCTAAGTTAAGGTTCTCTTAAGTCAGAGAGTAGGAAGTGAGCAGGGCGTATTCGATCATCCTTCCCAAATGACCAATTGTCAGCACAGATAAAAAGTTTGATGCAGGTGATTTGTGGTCAAGGGTCGTTCGGTATCCATTGTCGAGCCGGAGTATGCAACCATCCCAGGAGGATGTACTCGATCGATGGGAAGGGCCAGGCGGACTGAGATAACGAAACTTTTGGGGTACACATTTCCGTTCGGTGTGTCCGGCCGAGTGGAGAAATGAGCAAGCCTCTATCACAGGCATTTCCAATCAGTGTGTCGAGTCGAGTAAATAAGAAAAGACATTGAACTGAAGGTGCGTTCGGTCAGGGTACTTGGGTGAACAAGTGGATGGGATCGACTCGACCGGCTTGCTAGACCGTATGACCAACGCTTGTGATACCACGGGGCGGTCTTTACTGGATGCCATAAGGCCGAATCAAATGTGCGAACATTGACCCTTGGGTTGTCCACTCGTCCTCTATGAAAGACCAAATGGGCGAGGCCTCTTGCCTTAATCGTCTCGAGGGGGGACACAAGTTGAACTGTTCCAAGCTAGTCGACCAGTCGGCAGAATCTCCTTGGTATGTGAAACATGGGATCATGTTGGGTCCGTTTCGGTAGTCGCATGATGAATAGGTCAGGAAGAAAGGGTGGTTGAGCATGGTTTTCATACGGTGTTGCAGTTTCCTAGATGTCGTGGATCCCTGCCATGTGTACGGTGGCGATCATCCCTTCGCTTTGGAGGCGGGAAAATGAAAAGTCGCTCTGACCGTTAGTCAATCGCGGGCTGCCACGTGTTTGCTTCTGTCAGATTTTGCTTAATAAAACGAGGGAGCGGACTGTTCGTCTCCCATTTTGCGTTTACCTCCATTTTTCTACAATATTTTTTTCTTCTTTTCTTCTTCTTTGTTCTAGTTTCCTTGAGCAGCGGTGGTTCTCTTTCTGCAGATTCCGAAGTCTTTACGATAAATACTCTCTCCTTGGGCTGATTTTTTGGTTTGTTTGCTCCGTTTGCTGAGTTTTTTTGGGAGAGGGTGAGATTTTTTTGAAGTTTTCGAGGGGTTTTGACTGGGTTTTGAGGTGTTTGGAATACAGATTTTTAGAATATGCGTGAATTTTGGTATTTCCAGTGGGTTTCTGCCGATTTGTCTGGTTTTTGGCGTTTTTCGAGTTTTTTGGACGGAACCGAGAAGACGAAAATAGGTTAAGTATCCACTTAATTTGGCTTGGTCGATCTGCCTGACCATATTGAGTGACTGGTTGGATCAGGGTTGGAAGGAAACAGCTTCAACAGAGATAAGTAGTCACCTGGTCTCCCCGACCGAGTGGTAAGGGGGTCGTGCAGAGTAAAATAGAATAAGGGATCAGTCATCCAGACTTAGTGGGAGATTTTACAACAACCCCTAGTTAGGAGTAATCATCCGAGGACCCAGGGCGAGTGAAGACATTAAGAAGGCACGTAGTTTTTAACCTTAGGTCAGTCGCTCTGGGTGAACGGGACAGGCCAGTTGCTGTTTTCGAGGACCAGGTCGGCTGGTTGTGAGGGTCGATCAGTGAAGTTGCTAGTGTCGATAGTTTATCCAGTCGGTAGTGAAGGTCAACCAGTGATGAGAATGCAAAATGTCATATTTATCCCCCTTAATGTCCAGTCTTTTATACTTATTTGTTTCTTAAAATATACTGATTATTATTCTATTTTGATTTAGGAAGCAAATGGAAGCATTAATTGCAAAACGGAACTAATTAAGTGAATTCGGACAGTTTCAACATTGTTTCGTAATCTGGGCATAACTCTCTCATCCGAGCTCCGATTGAGTTAATTCAAAATGCTGTGGAATGCTGAGAAAGATATATACAATTTTATGTTTCGAGTTTGGAGAGATATTCACTGGATCAAGGTTGTAATCAGGCTTGAATTTGACGGATCTGCACTACCGATATTCTGGAACATTCCGCCTAGTAATGCAAGTCCAAGAGGCAGTTTATTATTGGAAGATCTGAAGACATGTGGCACACAAGTTATAGCTGGACACACCACTTTCCTATTTTTATTTTAGGACTTTATTGTATTGTCAATTAATTAGAATCAGACTAGGATAAATGATTTTAGGATATTAGAATATTTTAGGAGATTGAGTGGATTTCAAACACTTGAATTGGATTTGTTAAAGAGAGGGGGATTAGACCAGTATCAAGGACATCTCTCTTGGCTCTCT